GGGAACGGCAGAGGATGAGACAGGAAGGCCTGGCTCAGTATGGTTCATGGGGTCACGAAGAGTCGGACATGACTTAACAACTGAACAACAACAAAAAATTGCTTGTAAAAGATTGCAATGCTATGTTTTCTCCATCTTGATAGCAATAAAGATAGTAACTTTAAATCAATGAAGTCAAGGGGAAGAGAATGGCTCTGTAGTTTATTTGAAAGAATTTCACTGGATATTGTTCCCCACTAAATTATAAACGCTCAAAATAGAATGTCTGCAACACATTAAGCCTCAAGGGGCATCTTCTGTGATTTTGATTTCTGTAAATGATTCCGGCATACTTGTCTACCAAAGCATTTTGCTAATTATATCATAGATTTCCCCATTGATGAATATATGTTGAATTAACACAGGAGCATTAATGTTACCCTTTCACTATTATTGTTGTACAAGAAGCCATGGCAGATGTTGGCACTTAGTTACACAAACATTAGTCTTAACGATTGGCCATTTGGATTTGATGACAAACGGGAGACCTGGTGGAAATCTGAGGCTCAAACCAATCAGGAAGTTAATGAGGAGAGAAATTACCCCTGCAGCTTCTCCTTAATTACATCCAGCCTAGGCGGGAAAGGAGTGCTGTGGATGAATCTTGACTCATCAAAGGTGAATGAGGTCAGAGACCCTTTCATTTTGTGTTTTGTATCTAGCAGAGATTGAAATGTTGCAAATATTTCTTCCACTATATTAGCTTTTAAATTGTTTAAAAGTTTGCTTTGATCTTTTGCTGTTTATTGTTCTGGAAACTGGGCACTTCCTTTTGTTCTTCAGTGATCTTGGGCCCTAGATCTTGCTGTATATGTCATTTCCTACATTTATTTCACTCCTTTTGCATGATGCCATTGAAATTAGGATGCTTTACTCTGGCCAGAGGTGGGCAGCCTTTTGGATCAGCAGGCCACAATTAATGCTTTGAGGGGAATGAGTAGGATGACTGTTCAAGAACAGAACAGAACAGGACCAAATTTATTATGGTAGGAGAAGCTGTAAAGGAAGAGCCTTGTTAGAAAATGATCTGGATCAAGCTTGGAGCTGAAGAGAAAAACAAAGAATTCCTCCAACACATCCCTGTTGAAGAGCAGGTTGAGCAGTGGCCAACTGCTCCATTCTTAAGACCCCTCCCTCTTCTCTCCTCCTTCCTGGTCATGTGACCTAGAATGGTGGTGGTGGTATTAAGGGACTGGAAGGAATTCCAGAAGCCATGCTGTGCATGCTTTCCCTATCTTGTTTAAATTTGTATATGAAGCCTATTTTTTTTATCCCACCTTTATTATTTTTATAAAAATTCAATTCTAGGCATATATTGTAGCTTTCCTCAAAATGGCAGTAAACTGTCCCACTCTGGTGGCATCATGCAACCTTAGAGCAGGAAGTGGCACAACTGTGCTCTGTTTTATTCACTTATTTATTTACAAGTATTTATATCCAATCCAATTCCCATGACTCTGGGCAGTTTATACAAGCACAATTAAAACAGACAAATCAAGACAATATGCTGTATGAAAATAGTCATATATTAATACAATGACCATGGCAACCAGTCATTATAAAATACAAAAGTTAGTAAGAATCACCCTCCAAACAATTCTTCAAATAACACAAACATGCCAGGTATATCTCTGGGGCAGTGTATTACAGAGAGGGATTACCTTTGGAGTGCATGGCCCTTTGACTTTCTGCAAGGTGGGACCCTGAGTGTCCCTTCCATACATGCATGAACTGTTGAATACCATAAGCCTCTGGTATGGCCAAGGTGATACATCAAAGCTTCCTTTCACTATTTTGCCACTCAGCTACTTTATGTATCTTGTTCTATATAGAGATGGGCAACCATTGACAGTTTCTTGTTAAACCTAGCTGTGGCAGAATAAGCAGGCCCCTTCACAGTAATAATGATTTTGTAGGTTGGTATATACAGATCGTGTCTAAATATTTATTAATAGATCCCCTGCTTATTTACAGAGGTCCACAAGGCTGACACTGATGCCTATCTCTAGGCTGACACAGATGCCTGGAATCTGTCAGTTTGTTCCACAACAAGGAAGAGAGACTCAGAAAAGCTTTTGTTGCTTCTCCAATCCCGACTGTTAAGATCAGCAAGGATCTTTTGCTGATTCCTTAGCATATTCCAGAGAATTTGTGAGAGGAGTAAAGATGGTGAATTCAGGTGGTAGGGAAAGGTCTGCCACAGTGAAATACACCCCAATAATCTCAAGAAACAGAGCCAGTTTGGTTAAGGCACCAGGCTAGAAAGCAGGAGACGATGAGTTCTAGTCCCATCTTAGGCATGAAGTCAGCTGAGTGACCTTGGGCCAGTCACTTTCTCTCCATCCTAGGAAGGAAGCAATGGCAAATCACTTCCAAAAATGTTGCCAAGAAAACTGCAGGGACTTGTCCAGTAGCCAGGAATCAACACTGACTCAAAAGAATCCCCCCCCCAAAAGAAAGTACTGAACATTTAATTTGATGAAAAAGAATTTGATTTTGAATTGTCTTTCAAAGAAGAGCACTTTAGTGAATCTCTAAATTGGGTGGAATATGAGGTGGCCAAGGCATGTGTGTCTCCTGTCTTTCACAGTGCAGTCATCTCTCCAGGAAGCAGTAACTTCCCTGGTATCCCAACACTTAGTTAAATTCCAGGGGAAGATGCCACGAGAGAACTCCTCCTGGGCTTTCTCATACAGGGAAGTATAGTAGGAAGATAAGTAAGAGAAAATAACACCAGCAGTTGCAGCCTTTGCCAAGCACCTTGAGAATAAGATAGAAAAAAACAGAACATTCTTTGCATGGGAGGAAAGCTCCTGAGAAATTAAAAGGCAAATTCAGCACAGTGCTACTGTTAGGCTTCCAAGAAAGGGGCAGTCACTTAGATGGGGGAGAGACAGTTGCCCTGGCAACTAGATTTTAGAAGTTCTGGGAGTACTGGCAGCCACACCAATGTGCAGAATATACCTCCAGTTTCAATCTTGTTATCATTGCTAGTACTATTTCTCACACTTTTATAGAATTGAGGTCCAGATGTCCATGGAATAAGCATGGGGAAAAGATCTGGTTTGTGTTTACTGACTTCTCCCTGAATTGTATAGTCCAAAATAGGTTCTTTATATATATATGCAGTTGTTTCTTCCAGTTGCATAGAGTCTATATTTGCACAGTGCATATGTACAAAGGCACTGTTCTCTGTTTGATTCCCATTCCCACCACTTTTTCTGTGCCTTTAAGAACAACTAGGAATTCAGTTGCTGAGTTATTGCTTAATTTTTCTTTGTTATATGCCCGTTAAAGGCATTAGAGTCCTTTCAGAAATAAGTAGCAATGCCAGTTCTAATGGAGTTGAAGTCAAGTTGACTTCTGCCAAAGGTATTGCTACCTTTTTTCCAAATGTGCTCCAGTGCTTTTAATAAGACCAGAACAAATTAGTCTTTTTTCTGCTCAGCCAGGGGGCAGCCCCTTGTCAAACTTGTTTGCTCCTGCAAAGTTAAATGCAGATGATACTTGGTCAGGAAATCCCAGGGCTGTAAGCTATGTTGGGAAGTTGAAAAAGCATCCTCCCAAAAAGCAACAACAATCAACCTCTGTATTCTTGCCAAGAAAATATGGATGTGTCCATATAGTCATCTGAACATCTAAAATTAGGCCCAATTGAAGGAAGGCTATACCTTTTCATAGCTTTTGTATGAACATATTTGGTGATAACGTAGATAGCTTTTTCTCAAGTTGAATGCAAAGTGGACTATCCTGGAATATTTGCCTGCCATTTAATTTGCCCAAGTTTCTAAATGAGTCTCAACATTGATGTTAATGATGTTTCTGAAATATATTGCTTAAAATCGTACTGTCACTGACATCTGCTGTGACATCATCACAAAAATAAGGCAACTTAGGTACCTGTGCCAGATATTATGACATCACATAATTGCATTTGTGTCATGACATGATGCACGTGTCATTTTGAGGTCATTGTGGCTTGTTATAGGTAACTCTTGTTTACAGGTGCTACTGCTGTTTTATAATGCAATCATTTTATGTCTGTATTTTGGTTTTATCATGTGTTTTTTCTGGAATCCACCTTTTAAAATGTTAAGGACAAGTTGAAATTATTTAAAAATGCTAGTAAATACCACTCATTCTTCTAAGCTTTAAGCAGATAAGAAGTCCTCTTTCACATAATCTTTATAGATGTTATTCAGATATAACCAGAACTTCAAGGAGGAGACCTTGTTTTATTCTACATAAAATACAATTGACTCATCATTCACTTGTTTTAGTGAAGTTAGAAGAGGTTACTTAATACACAAAAGTCTGGTTATTTCCCATAGATTGTCAGTTTATATGACAAAGAGTTTGTAGGTGTGCATTTTCTCATCCTGAAGCTGCTTTGATGACAGAAGTTTATTCATCTGCTAAACTTCTTATCATGTAGCTCTTAAAATTGTGAGAATCTTACCAGAGAGGGAGAGATGTTGTTCAGTTTTTGTGTCTGGATCTGCATGGGGTTTAAAAAGGACAAATCTACATGACTATTTATGCCTGAATGTTCATTTGAGGTACGAACAATCTATTACCGTGAATAGGCAACCCATGACTCAAGTTCATGTTTTATGACCCACCATGGGCAGAAGTATCCTCCATCTCCACCCATCCCTGGGAAAATGGATAAGAGAAATGAAATGGGTATCCCTAGAAAAAGGCATGGCTGATATCCTCAACAGTCTTTTGGGACTAACATTTAACCTGGGACCAACTTTGTGGTTCCCATCTCAGCAATAATGTCTTAACACATGTCTAGGATTGTACTTAATCAAGTACAAGTTCTGGTTCTACACTGGATTGATTTGTCCATAGGAGTATGTAAGGCAGGTTGGCTGTAAACTATTACTATTCCTGGTCATTTAACGTGGCATTCCCTTTTTTCTTTCCCCTCCCCCTTTATCCCATTGCTTCTTTAGTATTTTCACCACCCAGTAGTCAAGATTCTGGCCTGGTTTCACTTTCCAGCAGTTCTCCCATCAGCAGTGAAAGTACCAAGGCTGTGCTGGAGTGTGAGTCGGCCTCTGACTCCAGCACCTTTCCAGTTCATTCTGTTATGGAAGATGGCGAATAA